GCATTCGTGAGTCTGGAGTTCCGGCCAAGAAAATGAGCAATGAATTGACGATTCTGCTTTCGACTTCTTCAAAGGACTTAAAACCCAATGAAAGAATCAAGCTGAGAGAGCTGATACACAATTATCAGGATTTGACGGACAAGGAAAGAAAGGTAGAACAAGAACTGTCCAGGATAAAATTAACACCAGTGATGCACAGCCCATTCGACAGTCGGCAAGAAGGCTGCCACTTGCCTAGAGAGAGGAAGCTGATAAAATTGTGCAAGAAATGGAGAAGGAAGGAGTGATCGAACCATCCAACAGTCCATGGTCTTCCCCAGTGGTGTAAGTTAAGAAAAAGGATCAACTTGATTTTGCGTCGATTTTCGTCAGCTGAACAACGTGACGAAGAAGGACAGCTACCCTCTACCTAGGATCGATGACACCCTGAATACATTGGCTGTATCACAGATATTTTCGACTTTGGTTTTGAAGAGCGGTTACTGGCAAGTTGAAATGGCACCAGAAGATAGAGAAAAGACGGCGTTTACCGTGGGGCAGGACTGGCAGTTTACTGTCATGCCGTTTGGACTATGTAATGCCCCTGAAATTCATTTGAGGACCATATGGGGAACCTTAAGGAAGTCTTTCAGCGCTTAAGAAGTTCTGGCCTGAAGCTAAGCCTGAAGAAATGTCACTTGTTCCAGAGGGATGTGCAGTATTTGGGTCATGTTTCAAGTCAAGGAGTGGCAGTGGACAAACAGAAGGTGAAGACGGCGCGGGAATGGCCAATAACGAAGAACATACATGACTTAAGAAGCCTTCTTGTATTATGCACCCACTACCATCGGTACGTACCAGGATTTGCAAAGGTTGCTAAGCCTTTGACACGTCCTAAGTTATCCTCTTCCAGATGGTTAATTTATTTTGGACACAGACGCCAGCAATGTGGGACTGGGAGCGGTTTTATCGCAGATTCAAGAGGGAAAAGAGAAAGTTATTGGATACTTCAGTAAAACTTTATCCAAACCAGAACGTAATTACTGCGTTACTCGACGAAAGTTGTTAGCAGTGGTAAAATCAGTCGAACACTTTTATAAGTATCTGTATGGAAGAAAATTCTTGCTAAGAATGGATCATGCTGCCCTAAAATGGCTTTTGCAATTCAAGAATCGTGAAGGACAGGTAGGAAGATGGATTGAGAGACTACAGGAGTTCGACTTTGACACAGAACATCGGGGACCATCCATAGAAATGCTGACGCCTTGTCAAGAAGACCGTGCCCGGAAGACTGTAAACATTGTCTCAGGGCCGAAGAAAAGGATGTGTTTAGTCGCAGGGCTACACTTGTGGATGATCATTGGCAGTCCAATGAGGTTCAATAAGACCAGGAAGGGGACCCAGATTTGATGTCCATTATCGGATGGAAGAAGAACGACCGCAAATCAACGTGGCAGGAAGTCGCCCAATATTCGCCGAATGTAAATCGTAATGGGTCCAATGGAATTTCATCATCTTAAGTGAAGGACTTCTAAAAGCGGTTTCATATACACTGTTTAAAATATCTGTGGTGTAAAAAGTAATCTTAAAATGGTGTCAAAATCCAACACCAAGTGGTGTTAATATAACACCATGAATTATGGTTGAAAATGTGTACCGATCGCGGCAAAGGCGGTGTGGATCACGTGATGTTCTTAAATCTCGCCTCTGTTGACTTACATGAAGAATATATAAACTCAGGTGGTCCTTTGCTTTGGTGTGACACTACAAGTTGTTCGATACTAAAGAGACCTTAAATAGGTGGAAACAGCTGTCAATACTTGAAGTATTTTAAGTTAGTGGAACGCACTAAAAACATTATCGCTATAGCGAGTTGAAGGTTCCATTTTCTGGAATAATACCACTGGTAATATACTAGTAATGCGTCAAGGAACTTCCTGTTTCCTTTTTTTTTCCTTTTTTCTGTGTAGTATGATTTAATTTGACCACAAACACATATTATTTAACACTGAAAAGGAGTTCAATTTACACCACGTAAAATTTATTTTAATACCGTGTGAACGTTAAATTAACACCATTTTAGTATTTAAATTTACACCGGCCAACGAACCATATTTAACACCATTTTGGTTTGTATCGATATAGACCACGTATGGTGTTAAAATGGTGTTAAAATAGTCATGAAATTTTAAACAGTGTAGATGCGAAATGCGAAATACGTATATTCGCATTTCGCAACTCCTATTTCATATAGACATTTTTTTCTCACTAGGTGATATTTGCCATGGTATTTTAGGGACTTAATTTTCTCCCCAGGCGATATTTGCCATGGTTAACATTTTCTATTTGTTGTTTTATGTAAATTGAGATTTTGTGTTTTTATTATGGATGAACAATTATACCAGTGGCAATTATACCATTGGCGACGAAGGCGTGCTATTGCGCTTATTTATTGTTGAAACGAAGACGGAATTAATTAATGCGCAAGCGCATCACGACAAATTCGTGCGATTTTCGCAAAATATTGAATCAATCTCAAGATTCCCGCCCCCCAGATTTTAAATCTTGCGAATTCGCAGGATCTGTGAAACGCTTTTCCCGCCAAATCAAATGGACCAATAAAATTTTTTTTCGCATTTCGCATCTATATGAAACCGCTTTAAAGCGCGTTCTGGAGACTCCAGAAGGGGGGGAAGACCTTAAGCAGTTAATAATCCCCAGAAACAGGATACCAGTGCTGCAGGAAATCCATGATCGAACTACTGGAGGACATCTTGGGGTGACGAGCACGCTTAGACTTAGGGAACGGTTTTATTGGGTCAATTGTCAACGACATATAAAGGAATGGTGCAAGAAGTGCGCCGTTTGCGCAGCAAGTAATGGACGGTGACCGTCCATTACTTTCCATTATGGACCCCAAAAGCGCCCGAAAGATATAATGCGACAGTACAATGTGGGCAGCCCATTCGAGAGAATTGCAATCGACCTGGCGGGTCCATTTCCGGAAACAGAATCTGGAAATAAATACATCATGTAATGGACTACTTTAGCAAGTGGTCGGAAGCGTACGCCTTGAAAACCAGGAAGCTGCCACAGTGGCTGATGCCCTTAATACGGAGTGGATTTGTCGTTTTGGTGTGCCAATGTAGATGCATTCAGACCAAGGCAGGAACTTTGAATTTATATTGTTCCAGAATGTCTGTAAGATTCTTAACATTCGATCCGCAGTCTGATGGAATGGTAGAACGAATTAATCGAACGATAAACCGATCTGACGAAGGTAATCTCTGATCATCAAAGGGACTGGGATCGCTTCCTTCATCTGTTCTTGTTGGCGTACCGTTCCTCCATCCACGATACAACCGGCCAGAAGCCAGCCAGCATTGTTATGGGACGTGAACTTCGTTTACCTTGTGACCTGAAGTTTGGCTTCCTACCAAGGGAAGATATTGCTGGAAAGATTATGTCAATAATTTACGTAGGAAAATGAGCGACATTCAAAGCCGAGTTCGTTTAAAAATCCAGAGTGCCAGTGATAGAATGAAAGAGGCATACGACATCAAGGCGGAGAATGGAGGATTTCAACCTGGAGACCTAGTTTGGTTATACAACCCTCAGCGCCGTCGTAGTTATTCACCGAAGCTGCAGACTTCTTGGGAAGGACCATGCGAAGTCATGGATCGCATAAATGACATTATCTACAGGATCAGAATCAGAATGTATTTATATTCGAGCGGTAAAAAAGCTCGGTATGTTGTCGCTTAAGAAGAACAACAATATCTGTTCACGGTTTCAGCCGTTTATCCTTGGCCCACTGTGTTGCAGAAGACCTTAGGATGTCCAGGAGAATAGCGGTTGTCTTTAAAAACAAGTTTGGACGGGTCGACGAGCTACGAAGGCAGAGTCCCAAAGAAGTATCTTCTATCTGGTAATGAAGCAGCTCTCCCATCGAAAGCCAAACTACCGTGACGCCTTAAATAAATTAAGGGATAACCTTTTATCGAAGGACATCATGAACCTGGCAATACCGAAGGTTGCTTGTGGACTTGACGGTTTAGACTGGAGAATAATTAGAAGTATGGTGGAAGTTATCTTCAGATTTAGTGGCATACAAATTCTTGTCTGTTGTCACAACCCTAAAAGAACAACCGGAAGGAAGACCGTAGACTGCTACTTCTATAGGACATCACAATGCAAGTTTGGATCTCTATGCAAATATCGTCATGGAGCTGAGGAGCATTTTCGGAACGAAAATGTTTTAAGACGGGAGCAATGTAGCGAGTACTGCTCTGGATCTCGGAATGATGACTCATCGCCGGGACTAGTGTCACGTAAGCACTGAATATATAAGGAACAGCGCAGCATGGAGCAGTTAGTCAAGCTTTGGTACTCGCGATGAAATAAAAGAAATAAACGTGCAAATAAATAGACTCTCGTACAGTAGTGATATATAAATAATTAGTAGTTAGTGTTTAGTTAGTTTTATAGTTTCTTAGTGTTTTAAGTGTAATTAAGTTATAAAATAAATCGTTCACTTCGTTAATAAACCATTGCGTGTTTAAATTCACACTGTGGAACCGTAAAAACGTTACAGTATACTTATGAGTATTTCGGTAAAATTAAAGACAAGTTGGGTAAATACAAGCCTATTAAAATAAAATTTCTAAATTAAAAAAAAAACGTTTCTCAAAACATTCCAATTCCAATATTCTATTTGAATTTTACATGGTTGGATTGAAACTACATAACTTACGGCGGCCATTATAAAAACAAAAGATAGTGATGGAAACTCAAAATCTATTACAAATAATAGCGGCCATAGGAATACAAATTTTTTTTGTCAAGTTTTCAGTTTTTTTAATTATTTGAGAATCGCAATTTTTTTATATGCCTTTCTAATTAATTACGCAACTTTTATTTAGTTTAAGCATACTTATACTTATACAAATACATATATGTAGAAGGATACTTGGTGCACCCTGTATAGATACGGATTAACACTAATATTTTTTTGTATTTAGGTTGACACAGAAGAGCTAAAACGCTATGCTAAATACGCTTTTGGATTTTTGCCATCGAAAAAGGACCACTTTTGTCAAAAAGAGTTGCCACATTTGATTGGACGCGAAAGACAGATCACAAAAAATTTGGGCGAATGCTTGCCTGAAAGCGAAAAATTTATTCCTGCGTTCTTTGATGGTATTTTCGAGAACTTTTTGAAATTTCTCTGTGATGGAGGCGGAGAAAATATTGACAGTAAGCATAAAATTAAATATACATATATATATATATATATAGAGAAAATATATTTGTCATACGACTTTTGTTTAAGATTTCTTCAGTAGTCATGGGGACGAATGCAGAAATCAACTCAAAGAAGTTGGGGCAGAAAGTTGTTTGGAAAAAATATTTTCTCCAGTGGGATCATCTATAAGAAAAACTGAAATGTGCGAGTAAGTATACAAAGAAAGTATTTAAATGAGTGGTATTTATATTTTATTTTTAGCGATATTGCCGTCGTGAAAAAGTGTTTCTCTCAAAATTTGGAAAGGAAATGTCCAGGATTTAAGGCGTTCAATACCCTAAACAATCGACTATTTAACTTTATTGAGAAACCATGCTCAACCTCTGGCTCCAGAGCATCAGTGCCATTTTTCCTGACAATAATAGCTATATTCCTAGTCACGCGTTTTTAAATTTTAATGAAATTGTCTTAAATGTTAAAAGTGTGCAAAAACAACATTAGGATGTAAAATTTAACTTAAAGAATTCTCATCTGTTTTTAACTCAATACTTTATACTCAGTCTACTTTTTAGTTTATCATTTATAAGTTATAGGTCAGTTTTATTTAAACCACAGACCAAACAAAGTATTTTTTTAAACATTTTGGTGTGACTAGATTTGAAACTATTATACTTTACATCACAAAATTAAACTTAAATTGCACTTTTTAGCTTTATAACAACAATTTTTGTTTTGTATTTTTATTATTTTAATGAGCACTCTACAATGAGCTAAAGTCAATGTGGTACACACACGCCTTATAGATTTTATTCTGTCCAATAGATCTGAAGGGTGTTTCTTGGAACTTGCCACTGCTTTTTATAGAAATAAGAAACCACTAGATTAACCAATCAGCGGTGGATAATGCAATGCTCTGATTGGTCACTTCCCATGAAAACTACATGATATAGAAAATAAAGTTGCAAGGTTTAAGAAACGCCCCTGTTGGAATTATTTGTTAATTTTACTTAAATAATGTAATTATGTATTTTATACACGTTATGTAAATAAAGATGTTATGCTTCAATGACAAAATTAAAAATGTCTCTTTTGTATTTATTTAATTATCCTCTTCCATACTGTCAATCCCACTGCTAGTATCGGATCCTTCTTCATTGCAAGCATAGCAAATTTCTCCCAGATCTACCCAGCATTCCCTGCAGTAGAGCATGTGACAATTTGGTGTGGGGCATTCGATAAAATCACCGCCGTTTCTTGGTTCCGGATCTTCGCAGATAAGACATTTTCGCCTGGCGTAAGGAAATACGCGTAGAAAATCACATCGGTCCGGATATTTTATGCGCAAAATTGCACAGAGGTTCAGGTTTTCTCTCAGGCGGTGCTCGCGTGCCATTTTCTTAATCTTTTTCTTCATAAATCTAATAATAATAATAATAATAGTATTTATTAAGCATAGGTTGTATATAATTAAATTAAACATATGTGGATATGGGTATGATAATAAATACAAAAATAGCCCCTTACGTTAAAACTTGTCCGGGGAATTTAATACATATGTATATAAAAGTTAAAAGTTATTTGGTATTCAATAAAAATTAAAATTAAAAACAGAAACATTTACAGGCAATATCAAATTATATAAACACAAAACGTTGTTTTACGTAGGTTTATTAGTTACTTCCTTTATAGGCCCCTCTGGCGTATGTATGAATTGGTTATGAGTGGTTAATATTTGTTAGTTAAAAATTTTTGGACCCAAGTAGGTAGCAGATCTCTGACCAATGACTATTCATCTTTGGAACTACGTATAAGTATACTTATTTACACTGCGGGTGCTATAAGGATTTTCCAACAACGGTAAGTTATGCTTTTTTTTAAATTGGGTTTGACATAACTTATAACAATATAATTTTCGAATATTCAATATTTGTGTCTCATGAAATCCCTGCTGAAAAAGCCGGGTGATTGCGGGCATGTGCGGGTGAAAAACCAAGCTGGTTTTACGCCCGGTTATATATGTTTTTTGCCTGCCATACCAGATTTTGCCCGCACGCCTGCTTTCACCTGCGCTGCCGGGTGTAAATATCACCCGCAAACGCCCGGTATTGACGTTAATTATATATAAGATTATGTTTTCGCCTGATTTCACCCGCGTTTGCCTGCATTTTGATTTTCTGTTTTTGTCTGCATTCGCCCGGTTTCATCCGCGAACGTACGTTTTTACATGCGTACGTCTGCAATCGTCCACGAACGTCTGCATTAACCCGCGAACGTCTGATTTCACCCGCAAACGTCTGCTTTTGCCTGTTTTCACCCGCAAACGTCTACTTTTACCTGCAAACGCCTGCTTTCACCCGCAAACGTCTGCTTTTACCCGCGAACGCCTGATTTCATCCGCGAACGTCTGCTTTCATACTTTTTCACCCGCAAACGTCTGATTTCACCTGCGAACGCCCGGTTATACCTGTCTTTCGCCCGGTTAGTACAAACTCGCAATCATCTGCAATCACCCGCGATCGCCGGCATTTAGTTTGATCTACTTTCGCCCGCGGGCGGTTTCATCCGCAAACGTCGGCTTTCGTCTGCGAACGCCTGCTTTCACCTGCGTACCTCTGTTTTTACCCGCAAACGTCTGCTTTTGCCTGTTTTCACCCGCAAACGTCTACGTTTACCTGCAAACGCCTGCTTTCACCCGCAAACGTCTGCTTTTACCCGCGAATGCCTGATTTCATCCGCGAACGTCTGCTTTCATACTTTTTCACCCGCAAACGTCTGCTTTCACCTGCGAACGCCCGGTTATACCTGTCTTTCGCCCGGTTAGTGCAACCTCGCAATCATCTGCAATCACCCGCGATCGCCGGCATTGATCTACTTTTGCCCGGTTTCATCCGCAAACGTCGACTTTCGTCTGCGAACGCCTGCTTTCACCTGCGTACGTCTGTTTTTACCCGCAAACGTCTGCTTTTGCTTGTTTTCACCCGCAAACATCTGCTTTCATCTGCGAACGCCTGCTTCGCTTCGTTAAGAACGCCGGCAAACGTCGGCTTTCGTCCGCGAATGTCGGCTTTCGTCCGCGAACGTCTGCTTTCATCCGCAAATGTCTCCTAAATTTATTGGATTTTTACATTGTTTCGCAAAACAGAAATTAAGTCTTCATTAAAAAAAATTAATAAACATTTTTTCAATATTACACAGGCAGGTAACTATGCTATGTTTTTCTATCTCATGAGCTAAGGCACCTGCGCCGTACTCGGAGGCCGTTGAAGGTGGACACTCAAAATTGGCATCCTTTTTTGTGCCCACGAGACCTACCCGCGGACCATCCGGTGTCGAAAAGGCCCAAGTCCACTTTTTTTCGATTTTTCCGTCAAATTTTCCCGACATGTCAAGTGACGGATGTCAAGTTGACAGGTGACAGATGACAAATGATAGGTGGCAGATGACAGATGACAGGTGAAAGGTACCAGATAACAGGTGACAGATGTCAAGTTAACAGATGACAGGTGACAGATGACAGGTTAAAGATGAAAGGTGACAGGTGCTAGATGACAGGTGACAGATGTCAAGTGAACAGGTGACATGTCAAGTGACAAAAGCCAAGTAAGTTGACAAATGATAGATGGCAGGTGCCATATGACAGGTGACAGATGACAAATGGCAGATGACAGGTGACAAATGGTAGGTGATAGATGACATGTGACAGATGACATTTGACAGATGATATGTGAGAAATCATCATTAAAATTACCATACATTTAGGTGGAGCGGTTGCGGCGCGATTCACACCTGCAGCGAGCAACAAGCTCAGCTTAGTGAGCTTGTTTAAAACGTTGAGGAGACTTAAAATCATTTTTTTTTAATTAAAAACGTTGAGGAGACTTAAAATCATGTACCTATAATATAATATAGGTATATGCTTAAAATCATTTTTTTTTTAAATTAATAACGTATTTTTACTAAGTGTTATATTTATATTTTTTCTGAAATAGGGTTACTTTAATAACAAACTTGTAAGGCGATAAATTTGAATTATATTTCTAGGAGTTTCTGACTAAAGTGGAAACATGGCATCAAAGCACGCTTGTCAACAGAGACTGCTTGTCAATGGACATAACCTTTATTTGTGTAGGCAAAATTGTAAATTTTTTCCTAACATATTTATTTATTTATTGTTTTGTGTAGTTTTACTGTTTATAATTTTTTTTGGGGAACTAAAACTAATTGAAACGTAAGTATATAAAATTATTTAAATAGGAATTTATTTTGAATCGATTTTTATCTTGTTTTAGTTTGGTTTTACATGCATTTATAGATGACGATACCTAGGTACCTCGCATATAATTAATTAATTAGTAATTAAAGCTGAACATATTAAAAATAAAGCTACAAATAAAAAAGATGTAGACTATAAAAAAATACCTTTTATGCCACAAGGCCTCCTGATAAGGACCCAACAACTAATTATGAAGCTTATGTGCTATTTGTGTAAGGTACATAAAAGTGTATATATACCCAGGGCCGGCAGCTTTTCATTTTGACGTGTGGTGCTCATCTACAGTTGGTTGGTAGCAGTGGTTAATGTTTGGGGGGTGTGGGTGTTCTTTTCCTTGGGGGTTGCGGGAAGGAGAACAAAATTGGAATAGTTTTTTAGTCAATTTATTTATCAAACTCAGTCACATTTTATATACAGGAAAATTTTTTAACTTGGAAATATCTCGCATAATAAGCACACTACTAATTTTAGCACTAATATATCCCCACCGGAATGATTAAATTTAGTTTATATAGTTTTTTCGACAGTGCTTATTTCGCCAGATATTTTTAAAGTTTCAAGTTAAAAAACTCACCCTGTAATGGAATCGGATGGGATAGGTATATTACTGCCACATCGGACGTTTTTAGGGTTGGCACCTGCCACTTAGATCAAGGTTACCAGCATCAAAAATACGGGTTTAAAATAATCGTTCTAGATTTTTTTACGAGAGACAATTAAAATAGAGTTACTCTAACATTCGAACTAACTTAAATTTGTTGATAAAAAGTCGGGTATCTATCCACTAATACAATTGGTGGTAGCAAACACGAACTCAGAGATAATTAACAAACCGCACGAACTGTAAATAATAATAATAATATAAAGTTTGGTCGGTTACCGTCGGTATAGTATAAATACCCTAAATACACGTCGCGACGTGTCGGTATGTTATTCCTACTATACCAAGAAACATATACTTATACATACTATACCGACCGACTTTGATACTTTAAACCAGCGGTTCTCAAACTGTGGTACGCGTACCACAAGTGGTTCGTAAGGTATCCAAAAGTGGTACGCGAGAAGATAATAGATGTACTTGCCTTCAAATAAAATTATCGTTGGCTCAATTTTATTGAAAATCTATAATTTTCCACATTTTATATTGTAAATGGCAACACTGTTGTTGATGTTCTATAAAAATTGGTTCTGTTTGACGGTTATCAATATTTCTTATTAAACTACAAGTTCAATAAATACGTACACCGCTGCTTTAAACTTTGAGTATGAGTATGAGTATAATGAGTATAAGAGACGTATAACCAGCCCCATTTCCTCTTGACTCTCAAACCCCGTACAGGCCTATGTTTACTTACGCCGATTGTTGTTCTTCCCCAGCAACTGCACGGCTTCACCCGTGTTTGCTGGGTGCGAATGTCCATTGCGTTCCGTACTGTCCCCTATTTGGGGCTCGAGAGCGAGAGGCGAATAGTTATAATAGCCGTTCCCGGGTTCGCCGGGCCTATGCTATACGCTCAGTGAGGTATGGATGAGGGACGGGAGGGAGTTGGTTTTTGGGGGACAATTACGCCGACTTAAAACTAAGTACGACGCGGAATCCCCCTAGACCAGGCGGTTAGTATTACTCCAAACATTTGGGATTATTATTTGGAGTTGAGGAGTTGTTATTACGCTGCAGGGGTGTAGTTTCCTAGTCGAGGTCTTCGTCTTGTTCATTATTGTCATTATCCGTGTCGGATTGTTCCTGAACTTGGTAAAGTGTGTCGGTTGTTTTTTTTTTTTTTATTTTTTTTTTATTGTTGTTTAG